GACCCGGGAAACGCCTGTCTCCATGGACTCTAGTCGCCACCACCGCTGCCGCCAGCCCCACGGCGATCTCTCCGCCGCCACCCTCGCCGGAAACATCATCGTCACCACCATTGTGAGCGTCAGTCCCCGATGCCCACCGCGCAAGCACCGCCACGTGCCCGCCCTCGCTCGCGACATACAGCGGCGGCCGTTGATCGAGGTGCGCCGGCGTGTTCCATCTCCGCCCCCAGCTCCCGCCGTCGCCGCCGGACGGATAAACTCCGCGTCCCCGCACCCAGTCGCAGCCAACGTCCGCGAGGCAGGCAATCGCGTGTTTCAGCAGGGCTTCGAGCGCTCAGCGCGGTCGCGGGCGAGGCGAGCCTCGTTGACGTGGAGGGCTTATGGGGCGAAGGTGCATCCGATCGCGGGCATCGGTGAGGAAATCGAGGACGACGGCGACGACAAGGGGTGGCGCTGGAGACGAAGGCCCTGCACCCGCCATTATTTTTGTATTCGAAGACGACGTTTATTTGATTTCTTTCGCATGTCTTTCGTCCACGATCGATCGAACAATGCGAGGAACGAACTTTGCCCAGTGAAGACGGAGGGAGAGTAGGTATGCTCAACCGCACGTGGTGCGGAAAGAGGTGTTGCCTGGAGCGTCGGGGGGCGGAGGAGCGGCGCAAAGCGAAGTCGCTCGCGGGGACAAAGTTAGTCGACGATCGCGTCGTGGTTCGGACGGATAGAGTAGAGAGTCGACCCGCCGAAAACCACCGGTTAATGCCATTGCGACTGAGCCAAGCTAGTATCGAAGGACCCTGTCAGAAGCAAGAGCGCCAATTACACTTCTCAATGTTCCCGACGCTTGCCGCCGCCGCCGCCGCTTCCCTCCTACAGTAAATACTTCAATAGACCAAATTCCACTGAGTAGCCACAGAGGTTTGCACCTCCTTGTGAACGGATGTTCAGTTTCACAGACAAGAGCTACTGGTACGAAATACCCTAATCCTGTTGAAATTGACATCTATTCATCCATTTATAGTACTGCCCGCACACGGTGCATTAAAAGAGATTGCACGAAGCATGGACTTGGTGAGGTTTGGAGTTGGCCACAAGTAGAAGATTTCGCATATCCTCTCGCTCGAATACTTTGTCAAGGACGTCACCGTATTTGGCTGAGCACTCTACGTAACGGAATGCGCCGATGTTTTTGGCCATTTCGAGTCCCTAATATTTCAAAAAGAGTCGACTCCGTTTAAGAGGGAGTGTGGAGCAGGTACAATACCTCTTCGAAAGTCACTGGATGCTTGTTTTCGCGTGCGAGCGCTTCTATCGTCGCTTGATCCTCTCTCAAGTCTTTTTTACATCCTACAAGGATCATAGGCGCTTCGGCAAAGTAGTGTTGAACCTCCCTCAACCACTTGTGTGTTGAACCAAGACGCCTCAGAGGTGCGCAAATCGATCAACACTGCACCAGCTCGTACCTGAAATTCAATGCGGGCTAGACTTGCCGGCGATGCGATCGAAAAGCAGAAGAGGAAGACATTCGTTGCAGGGTACGATAATGGGCGTGATTGGGATTTGGCAGAAGAGTCCCAAAGATAGAGAAGGACCTTCGAGCCATTCTCCAAACGGACGTCTGTGTCCAGCACGTCTGACACTGGGAGTGATACAAGATTTCCTCAGCGACAGACAAAAATCGAGGAGTACGTCTCACCTTTCGGAACGAATTCCTGCCGAGTAGCGATAGAGTCATTAGAAAATCGGCGCAAAAATCCATGAACAGGGTCCCATAATTACCTCTGGGAAGCGTCCCGATGCGAATGAAATCAGGAGGGACGTCGTTCCGACTGCAAAGCGAGAATGAGAGGCCGAAATGAATTCAGAAGGCGAGGCTCACCGCCTGGATCGCCGATGGCAACCAGCTTTTTGGGACCGATCAGCTTCGCTTTCTCGGCTCGCGTCGGACGACTTCGGCTTCTTTCACTTTTCGCGAATCGCAGAAAACCGGAGACGTATCAGCAACGTGAATGACGCGAGTTGGGGGGGAGGCAGTGGGCCTGAAAGTAGTCAACTTGGTCATTCGGTTGCAGACCAAGGCCTCACTTCTTCGATCGCGGCCAAGGCATCGTTGCGCGAGTAAGAAGACACAGCTGGTTCGGTTGCCCACCCAAAAAAACTGCTCAGACACCCCAAAGAGTTGGGCAACGGCGTGTGTGGCCGACCGATCCCTCCGACGCCGATACTGGGAGCTCCGACGCTCCGGCAGGGGCGGCGTCGGAGCAGCTGTCCTATCATTTCTCCTTCATCCGCTACCTTCAGCATCACACGAGAGGCCGTCTAATTGGGCGTTAGGAAGCGAGCGAGAGAGTCAGTCTGTTTGAGAGAGTGAGACGCAGGATCTTTGGTTTGTTGCTTTACTCTCTTTCTCCGCACCACACGACTAGCCCTCTTCACAATTCATTCGTGCTGCCTGAAGAAATCCGTGATTTGCGCAGTTCGTACGAGCTTTCTTCTTGGCAGACTCACGGTCTGTGCTGTCGCATCCCATTTTTCTCTTCTTGCAATTGTCACATGCCTTGTTTGTTGGCTTGAATTTCAGGCTGGACGAATCAAGAGCTCCCTCTGCTGATTGGAAAGGTATTTCCACGGGACTGAAGGATGTATGGGGAACACGTCGCAAGTTGTTGCTGAACGCTCCACGGTTGGTACTGGGGCCACTGGGCCACAAAAAACGAACGAGTAGAACACGTGGAAAAATTAATCAGTGATGTTCCACAACGGAAGCCACACCGAAAGTCAGTCACCTGGCAAAGAGAAGAGAAGAAAACTTGAACACATGTTCTGTGAACAGTTGAACTGCATCTTCTGGACTTGGCTTACCTTCAAGACTTTTGAACTTTGAGAGCGTCGAAGAAATATGAGCAATAAGTCATAAAGGATGCAAGCTATCGAACCTGCGGGAACGAGTGAGTGGTTCAGGAATCAATGAAGCCCTGCGAGTGTAATCGACACGGTGTGCCCACCGTGTTTTACTATTGAATCATTCACCCGATCAAGACAACGCAACGTTAGGCCGGATGCGAACGATAGATGCGCAGCCAATATCAGGCGCGATCTCGCTTGGACTGGATAATGATAGCTGGCACAAACCAAGGAAACACTCAACGCGTCGGACGACAAAGTTGCGACCACACACGACAATTACAATAGCAAAGAGTGCTCGTTCGGTCCGGCAACTTTTTTTTTTTTTTTTTTTGTGTGCCCGACACGCATCCTCGCCATGATCCAAGGATGTCATCGTGTTCCCAGATGCAGGACCGCCGGCCGCAAGGTGAAACACACAGTCTTCAACAGTGTACAGGAGTTGCCGCTAATGGCAAGCGCGCGTTGAGTACAAAGAGTCGAAAATTTTTGGCAGCTGAGGGCAAAAATTCTGCACTTTACGCCCTGCCTGTACCCCACTTTAGCTTTTTACGCGAGTTCAGAGATGAGTGCATATACGGAGAGATCACTCTTTGTCGGAAGCTTCCTCTTTTTTCGACGCCCCCGTCGGAGCGTCGGAGCCTATGTCGCGTCGGAGTCGGAGCACCGCCGACCGAAGGTCGGCGGCATCCCCAATGGCCCCCAATAGCCCACCCTGCTGCGTGGTGTGCGTCACTGAATTTGTCTGCTTCCGTTATTGTTGCTTCACCTATTTCAGCTCCCATGAAAAACTGGGGGGCATCACCCCACCGCAACCCCGCAGCACAATCTCCCAGATCCATGGTCTCAAAAAAGGTACTGCAACAGAGATGCTGTCGACGTGTACTACGACTATGGCTACTCGTCTGCGTTCGACACCCGTCGTGAGGCCTTGAGATCATATAATGAATAGATTGGGGAGTGGACCGAGCTCTGTTAACTCAGTTGGTTAGAGTGTAGTGCTAATAACGCTAAAGTCACAGGTTCGATCCCTGTACAGAGCATTTTCCTCCCCTTTAAAGTTGTTTCAAGGGGATCGACTCAAACACTCAATGCTCAGAGCCATGGAGAGACGGCGCGTGTCAACCAAGCTGAGCCAAGCGAAGCGTATTTGCAACAGCGTCCCAGCAAACTTTGAGAAACGTCTCTCTTTGATCAATCGAATGGTCGCCCAACAAGGCCCCACCAAGACCGCGATTACCTTCCTTTTTTCTTCCTGCCTGACGGCTTTGGTACGGCACAACCACCGTGGCTCCTCCTTCTTGCCCGAACAAGAGGAGCCGGCGCGGCAAAAAAAAAGTCGCGGTCTCCGACTGCTGCGCGGAGCCGTTCTCGTTACACATGTCGCGGATTGTCTTTTTATCTAATTCTCGAAGGACGTTGGCGGAGAATCGCTTGCTTTCTTGGCTGTATCGGTGGGAAGAGAATAAATGAAACTTTTATTAACCCCGTGTAGACGTTGAACAGGCCCGTCTTTGTCTCGCTGGGTTGGGTCGGATGCGTTCAAGGTCCGGAGGCGGACACGGGCAGCTTGACTTTTAGCTGGTCGATCAAGTGGCCAAAGACGGCTGCAGCGTTTTTGACTTCGCCCGAGATGGTGTAGGCGATGTGTCGCTTCTGGATAATCTTGATCCACGAGGAGGGACGCGGATAGCCATGTCTCAGACAAGGGATTCCCTGACGTAGCCCGCCTTAACGTCGGCGACCAACCCCAGAAAGTGTCATCGGTATAGGGACCTTGCTACCAGGCATCAGGACATCCGTTCCGGTTTCGAAACCGATGACGCTTTTGCGCCGGTAATGACGACGACTGTCGTCGCAGTGGTCGTCGTTGTCCCGATTGTCAGTATCGTGCCCCTAATGGTGGATGTCAAACCTCGCAATTCGGAGCCGGAACCAAGATATAGGATGCTTTCTCCCGCCAACCCGAAAGAGAAACGCTGGTGCGGAACGGAAAAGAAGTAGGACGTTGGCTGACAGCGAGGCCCTTCGCCCTTGATGTGTTTTGGCCCATCAAACAGAACTACAACTGCCGGGAAAAAGGAAGTACCATGCCTCGCCCCTACGACGATTTGAACGCCGATCTTCACCGCTATATGTGATGTCATGACCATTAGACTACAGGGGCCTTGAATATTATTTTGAGGGGGGGCACACAGCACCAGCAATTAACATGACTGGAAGAGGAACGAAACTGTGCCACCAAAATTAAAAACCAGCAGATGGAACATTGAGAGCTTGGGAAATAGGTGGCCAATCAATACCCAAGAAACGCTGGTCTGTGGGGACGACATCCACCTTAAGCACCGCAAGGCGGCGAAATTTGAAATCGATGACTCGCGAGGAACAGCTGGCAATTTCAGAAAAGACGTTTGTTCTTGTACCAATAAATATATGTCTATGTGGGTTGATCCCAATGCATGGCAAAGCATGGGTCGATTCACCAGGCTCGGCCAGCTCGAGCGACTTTTGCAAGATGGTCTTGCTCGCGGGGTACCACTTGTCTGCGGTTGGCTCGGTCGGGTGCTATATCCAGATGCCTTGCCAAAGCGTCGGGCAGAAATCCGTGTCCGGTGCCTCCGACGTGTCCGTACCGCGCCTCCGTCCAGTCAAGAATGATCTCCTCCCCCGTCGTCCATCCGAAGATACACCCAAGCATGGCGGGACGGGTCACGGTTCAGGACCAGCCGCGATGCCGGCTTCTTGGCCCTGCCGCCGCCGCTGCCGCCGCGGAGACTCCCAGCGGCCTTGGCGACTTCCGGCGGGGTGTCGATGCGCGGAAACCCCTCCGAGTCCGGCTTTTTCACACAGCGCGCGAGAGTCGTGGAAGAGCCGGCGAGTTGGGATCAAGGTACCGACAGCGACGCCGTTGTCGACAATGTGGGCCATGGACCGTCAGGGCGGGGCGTCCGATTTCCAAAACAGCGTCGCCGGCACCGCTGGTGCGGTACGCGGTGGCGATGTGGTGGATGAGTAGGCAGACGCGGCGACGACGGCGGGTCTGCCTACTCCATCCATTGGAAGCGAACGGCCCGTGTTGCCGTCCGACCGTTCGTGGCGGCGATCGTGTGCACCAGGTGGTGCATAGGCGAGGGTCAGGAGGACTTGTGCCTTTGCCAGTCCGCTTGCTGGCCGGCGAGGTAGATGCAGGCGACAAGAATACATTTGGAGCAGGGCTTCAGCGAACGGTGCTTTCCATGATGACCGACCATGAGGAGCGCGAACGTGAAGGGAAGAGATTGATTGTGGGGAGGGCGAGGGCAGCTTTTAAACGCACACGACCACAGTCGGGCGGACACATCGGACTCGGTCGGACAAGCGGACAGCTCAATTTAACAAAACTGAGCCACGTAAACAAAGGGTATTTCCACTCCGCCGCATCACAGCCCAGTAAAACTTTGAGAAGCTTTCATCGGCGCCCCAACGAGACGCCACCAAGCGCTTTTACGGACCGCAATTACGCGGGCTTCTTCTTCCCGCCTGATGGCCCCGCCCCAGCACCAGCACTCGTGCCTCCTCCTCCGCTTGCGCTCTTTGCGGAGCAAGAGGAGCCGGCGCGGCGGTACAAGCCGCGGTCTCCGGCTGCTGCGCGGAACTTGAAGCCGTAATCTTTGCACATGTCGCGGATAGTATTTCGGTCGATATCTCGAAGGGACTTGCGTGTCTCGGCGGAAATATCGCTTGGCTTCTTGGCTGGGGGGGGGGGTGGAAATGGAAGCATTAAGACGCTTTCACGAGGGAAGATGTTGTGAAGGCGGCGACGGGCGCAGCACTGCCAGTCTGACCTTGTCCCCAATCGACCAGCGTATACTTTTGCTGACCCTATTTTTAATCAATTATCAGTCAACGCCGTGAACGTCGCGTCTTTTCAATCCAAACAGCGCCCCTTCCTACCAGCAAATTCTTCGAAACTCGAATGTTCCGGCCGTGGACGTCATCGTGGATGTAACCCGTTTTCTCCTGCTGCTTCTCGATCTGCTTGATGATCTTGTCGCTGCTCGGTTTCGGCCCGAACCGACTCGGTTTGTCCTTTTGTGACTGGAGGTAGTCGCGTAGGTCTTGCCTGCCGACTTTTTTCTGGATCATCGAGTTTTGGTCGTGGGCGATCAGTTGGCCGGCTGAAGATTAAAAGAATGCAGTGATCAAACCCAGTGGATCAGCCCATCATTCGTACGACACGCACAATAGGAAAGTTACCTTTCTTCGTTGCATCCACTTCGTTCGGCGAGAACTTTGTGGTCCCAGGACGCGGTTCCTTGTAAATGACAGACTTGCCCATTTTGTCTTTTGCGTTGTGAACGTTGGGGAACGGGTCGATGTTGTCCCCTAGCTAGAAGAAGCAGCGTTGTCAACGACAAAGACAAGAGGGGTGGGTGGGGGAGCGAACTCTCACGGTGACTTTCTTGCCCGCGACCGACACAGTGTCGCCCTTTGCGGGCCTCTTGGTGCGCGGCGGCGGCGCAGCTCCGGTCGGCGCGGCGAGGATGATGAGGGCGAGAAGGAGAGCGAGGAGCAAGAAGCATGCTGAACGATCACATCTGCCGAGTCGGCCCCGGCCACAGCGGCGGCGATGGACTGGAGGTGGTGGTGGGCGGCGCATCAAGGAGCTTATTATTAATACTCGGCGAATCGTTTTTTGTTTTAGGCTGAGCCAGGCGAAGCCAGCAAGGCCGCTTCCCAATTCGGGGGGTGCGACTGACTGTGTGTCTTTTTCCGAAATCCTTGGCACGGCCGGGCTCAAGGAAACATTTCCTGTCTGTTTTGCGTTTTTGCTTATTGTCTCTTTATCTCTTTATTGGGAAAGTCAAATCGCTCAACGAGGGTTTGCCAGTTTCCGGTTAAACAGGAACACCGATTGCCCGTTGAGAAGAACCCGCTGGATGGAGGATAGCAGATGCGCTTTATCCGCCCACAGAGCAATGAACCGCGACCGAGATGCTCTCCCACACGCCGTGCAAGAATGCAGCCATTCTAACCTCAGGTCACAAGCAGTGGCGAGAAAGGAGAAGGCCTGCAACGACCCTCCCTCCATCCACTCGCCTTCCCCGACGCATCATCGATTGCTTTCGTTTTGTCGTCTGCCTTCGTTGGGGACGAGCGTTACATACCGAGGGTGGGGTCCGGGGCAGGAGGAGGAGGGGCGTGCTTCGGGTGTCATAGATCTATGACGATTAAGAATGATTAGTGGCTATTTAATAATGGCGGGATGGACAAAAGTGGCAAAATAGGGAAGGCGGCAGTGAAGGCTTAGGAGAGAGACGAAAGGAAAAAACAAAAAACAATGCGAGAAGTCCCAGCTCCTACCATCGATACAAGGGCGAACGTGGCGGTGCCAAAGAACCTGCTGGCGGCGACGGGGCCCGGGCTGATGTGTCTGGCGGAGAAGAAGGTGAAGCGGTCGGGGTACATTGCGACGGACCAGGCGGAGGAGGCGTTTCAGGTCTTTGCGTCGCGGCCGAACACCGACGCTGTACCAAAAGTTCAGCTCAAGTGGTTTAAGGGAACGGCGCACGGCTTTGCGGTGCGGAAGACGATCCCGTCGTGAGGACGGCCCGGGACGATGCGCTTGCGTCGATGCTTGATTTTTCACCGAAACGTTTCGAGAAGTAGGAACTCTTCCTCCTGCCCCTGAAGTTCTTGGAGACCAGCCCTAAAAAAGTAGAAGAAAAGGCTCAATTGGAACGTGAATGAAATTCTTTCGTGGACAAATGACAAGTAAGCGAACGACAGCTGGCCCAACCCAAAAAAACACGAAAGAGAGGAGGCTAAGTTCGCCCCTACGACGATTTGAACGCCGATCTTCACCGAGATTTGTTTGTTTGAGTGGTGATGTCCTAGCCATTGGACGACAGGGGCTTGGAGGCACTTGTACTTTCGTTCAAATAGGTAAAGACTTTGCTCAGGAAAAAATCGAAAAAACTTTGCCGAAAGGCTCTCTTTCTCGATCGAAAAAGAAAGAAAAAATGTATTGGATATATTATCCGATATGCACGATACAACAACTAAAACCAATCAAACCTGTCAACCCCACCTCTGCACCCACACCCAAAGACCCATCCAGCCCCTCCCCGCGCGCGCTCACTCATCCTCCTCAAACTCCTCCTCGTCGACCCCGTCCTCCTCCACAGCATCATCATCCTCAAACGCCTCATCCTCCACGACGTCGTCGTCATCCATGGCCTCGCTCTCGTCAAACGCCGCGTCGTCGTCAAACGCCGCGTCGTCGTCGACAAACCCTTCAACCCCCGCGTACTCGTCGTCGTCAAAGGCGGCGTCGTCGTCAAAGAGCGCGGCGGCGGCGGCAGAGTCGGCGGAGGAGGCGTCGGCGGCGGGGGCGGCGTCGGAGGACGAGGAGTCCTGGGACGGAGGTTTTTCTGGTGATTTTTTTTTTTTGTCGAGTTTGGCGCGGAGGGAGACGTGTCAAAGGAGTGTGGCCGGTCCATGGGGAGGGGTGAGGAGTAAAGAGCGAGCGGAGAGTTCCCATTTACCGTCGTCGCCACGGTGCTTGCGGTGGTGGTGGTGTCGTCCTCCGTGGTGCCTGTGGTGGCCGTGGTCGCCGCGGTGGTGGTGGTGGTGGTGGTCTATGTTAATGAAGGAGACGTGATTAAAACCTGGGTGCTTTGTTCGATACGTCGACGACGTCGACAGCGGCAAGAAACCCACGGTCGCGGCGCTCGAGGTCGACGGTCCCGTCGAGGAGTGCGGCGGCGGGGTTCTGGGCGTTGAGCGAGACGTCGGAGCCGCGGAGGGGGGCGGCGACGACGCAAGAGGCCGCGAGGAAGGCGACAAGGAGCAGGGAGAGGGTCTTCATGTTTGGATGTTGCTGTTGTTGTTGCTGTGTGCGTGCGAGTGTGTGTGTGTGTGCGGGCGTGTGTTTGTGTGTTGACGAAGGGGGATGGGATGGGGCCGAGCCGCTTATAAACTGTTTCTAGTTCGATCGCCGACCCCTCGCTCTTTCCCACTGCACCATCATCCCACCAGACGCAAAGTGCAAGGGAGCCACACGGATGGCGAAGACACAAACACCCAGTTTTGGCGTCAAAGGAAAAATCTGTCTCGCGTGTCTGTCCTTCTGTCTCCCTCGCACACCCTCGTTCCTTCTCCTCCTGCTCCACCCGTCCGCTTGAC